TAATCTCTCTCTTGTTTATTTTGCTGCTCGAGCTGCCACTGTTGCAGGTTTTCTTGCAACTGCTGTTGTCTCTCTTCTTGTTTCTTTTCTTTTTCCTCCAACAACTGCTCTAATACCTTTTGTTTATTTTGCTGTTCCAGCCGCCACTGTTGTAGGTTCTCTTGCAACTGCTGTTGTCTCTCATCTTGTTTCTTTACTTTTTCCTCACACAGCTGCTGTAATCTCTCTTCCTGTTTCTTTTATTTTTCCTCCAACAACTGCTGTAATCTCTTTCCTTGTTTCTTTTGCTGCTCTTGTATTGCGGCCATGAAGTCTGCTAAGCTGTAGTTTGATTTGCCGCTTCTCGTTTTTATTTTTTTGTCCCACTCTCTGACACCAATTTTTACGTCTCTGGTCGTTAGTTAATTTTCAGTAAAAATTCTTTCCGAAGAAACTAGCGATACAAGTCCTTTCTTAAATAAAACTGGTTTATTCTTTCTGAATACAACTTTGCAATACACTTAATTTTTGCAGTCACGCTATAACAAACGCTATGATTCACAACGAACGTCCCATGTGCTCGACTCAACAACATGTCTCTCTCTGTCTGCAGTTCAATTACTTATCACATTGTTGCCGTCACGTCTTGACCGTCTTATATATAAAAGAATACCGAAATCTAATAAACGCTAGAGCATTCAGGAAGGGACAGGATCCTTCTAAAAGTTAATGACGTGTTACTAGCGTCACGTGACTTCCGCTGTCGTAACACTATTAAAATATGGATTATTAGCTAAAATGTTATGCTATTCTAATTGGTATAACATAAACAAAACTTTTTAATGTAAGACACTAAAACCTTGTGTCATGTGGAGTAAAAAATACCGGGGCGATAGGGTTAACATTAATGTTTACTGTGGCCTCAGTGAATTTTTTTTTTGTGCCCATGATGCCCTTGAAGACGAGAGAAAAATCCGAGGCCAAATGGCATTGCCTAAAAATGATGAATTTCTTGGCCTGTTCAAATGTTTGGTAGTTTATACCAATCACTGCATTCATGGTCCGATGGACCAGGACACTGCTCAGTTATTTCCTTGCCGTGTTTCCTGAACTGCATGATGATTCTGTTGACTGTTGAAAGCGGGATTCCCAAATTCTGCTAAATTTGCCGCTGACTTATTCCACCACCTGCTTGACCAACTATACTTCCTCTAACAAAATCTGACAATGCGAGAGAACCTTGAGTTCTAGGCATATTGTAGCACAAGATAATTA